TCTAGTAATGGTTTACATGATGACTCATTTGGCCACTCGCACGCAAGTTAATCGATTGGCAAAACTTTACCCACTTGTATCTGAAAAAAAGACTTTGCTCTTTCTTCTTAGAGGCAAAAAAGCATTACTTTTTTTTTGAGGGGCAAAAAAAAAATCGCTTGCTAAGGACATGTACCATGCATAGCCTTAAGGTGATGCCTCGCATACCATGTAGAATCGGATATGACGTAAAGTAGGTTCGGATAGGGAAGCGGGATCCTCTTCAGAAGGCGGGTGATTGAAGAGAAAAAGTGTGATCCGATGACAAAAACTAAAAAGGTTGGAGTGAAAAATAGAAATGCATGTGTACTAGAGTCTTTATCTTTCTATTTCTTAATGAGGCCCGTTAGTAATAACTTGCATTGGAGAGAAAAAATTAATGTAAATGCCTCAAATTACTTTTTGTCATGGGACATATGTATCCATATGCCGCCATTGTACATTTTTTGAGACAAGCCACCATTGTACATGCCCTAAGAAAATGCACAAACGACTTAGCAAACGGGCCAAGCAGATGTCGAACCAGGCTCGGCTTAAAGCCTTTGCTCCCTTGCCCGGCCCATGTACGCGCCTCTCGTTCGTCGTGCATGGATCTCGTTCTTAAAGAATCCACCAACCGAAACTGCTCTTGTCCTTTAAAAAAAACAAGAATCCCCACACCAACCAAGAAACTCGTGGCGCATTTCAAAAAAAGAAAAGAAAAACACCGCAAGCTTTTTGGCAAGCAACGAAAACTGATTCCACCACGAGCACTGCAAGCCTTTTAATTAATGCCTTTTTTGACCCGAGATGGCCATTGTTTTTTCATTTTTGTTGACAACAAGTCGAGAAAGCTACTGCTGTTACTGCATGATGATGATGATGATGATGATGATGATGATACCGACCGAAACACCCCCCGCGGTTGCACACGCCAAGCAACACAAGCAAAGTGCAAAGTGCTACTCGTAGTTACATTTGGTGCACACGTCAGAATCTCATGGTCAGCTGCGTGCATGGTCCTTGGGGCAGCAAGTAGCCAGCCAAGGATGAGACTCAACTCAGCCGATGCGCTCACGTACTCCCGTACCCAGATGGCCCGTCGCCTGATTGATCCCTTTGTGCTTTCAAAGGGTGAACTTTGCAAATAGTCAAAGGTTGCCAAGCGTAGCAGCTCCCGTGGAGCCGTGCCGCCGTTGGCCTCTTGAACGCGGCAGTGGCCAGGACACATCATGGATGCGTCATGCTCATGCATATGTATGCTGCAGCTCATTGAAAATTTGAAATGATTCCGTTGTGTATGTACAGTATTTGTCCTCGGATTTTATTTTTTTTGCATAGAGGCCTCGTGTCAAGTCTCGAAAACGTCTTATATTTATTTGCGGAGAGAGTATTTGTTTAGCTTAGATTTCTAGCCAATTTCATGCTTGCCTATACGAGTGACAACATTGCCAATTTTTTTCCCTTCGGTTGCCAAAGCAAAGAGACACCGGCGTGCTAAAAAGTCGTTGAAGACGAATGTCAAGAAATTAAGTAAATACAGAAGTATTTATGGCACAACCCCACGACTTGCGGTTCGTGTTCAACCAACGAGTAAGCAGCATAATACAATAAGACACGCCCAATTGATAAAGGTGATTACACGGGAAATCTCATTGATACGAAAGACTAAGAACTACTCCCTTGTTTGGAATTACTTATCGGAGAAATGAATGTATGTAGACGTATTTAAATTCTTGATACATTCATTTTTATCCATTTTTACGACAAGGTACCTACCAACCGCGTCGCTCCAACTTTCAGTGTTGGCAAAAATGGCATAACGAGAACTTTTCTAAAACCCGTAAAGAATCACAACAACATGAGCATAACAATCTCCGTTACAGTTGTAAAAGGGGTACTAGTATGGTAGCTTGGCTGACTAAAAAACGAGTATGGTGGCTTGGCAACACTCCCAACGAAGACCAAAATTCCGTTAGTGTACAAAAATGGTAAATTGAATTTTAGGCATAGTCAAATCAGACCCGAACTTCACACCAAGGAGAACAAGAGATATATTTGTTCATTATTGGCCAAAAACTTGGATTTTGTAACTGGCATGAGAATGGAGCATGGGCCACTATGAGCCTGGAAGATCCGCGGATGCAAACATATAGATTGCCACTTGTGAGTGAGCCAAGGGGATGTGTGGTGCCATGAGAAGTCTAAAAGAATATCTTGAATTAACGTACCCGCAAAAATATGAAGAATATCCTCGCGCATATATCCCTAGGGGTGCATGGATCCCTTTGTTACTCCCGGTTTTGTACTTCTAACCTTTTTGAACTTTTTTGTCGCTTTTTAACCCCGTAAAGATATCTGGACAATATAGCACCAATACACGTGGTGGCGACACTAGAAAATTGCCGAGCCCTTCTCGCCGCACCAATGAAAATCAGTACGGAACGGTCTCGGGTTTAGCTCATGCGCGCCAATGTGGTGACGCTAGGAAACTGTCGAGCCCTTCTCGCCGCGCCAATGGAAACCAGTACGGTGCCATTTCAAGTCACCCACACCCCTACCCCTCTAGACAAAAGGTCATAAAAATCTTGAATTATACACACTTATTTCTTTTTGCAAAAATCACCAAGGAATATTCGCATGCACAGATCCATGCTGCCCGTGGATAACATGTCAATCCATCCTATTATCGCTCTGTTGTTATCCTCGTGTGGCTGGGTTTCACGCGCAAGAATAAATTACCAACGACACACACAGCACCAAAAAAGCACCATGCCGCCGGACCTATGAAGCGTTTCTGACTTGAAATTCTCATGGCATGAAACCCATCGCCGTCGAGGCTGGAATGACTCCAGAAAACAACCGTGACGGCGACGCCCCCAACCTGCGCAAAGGGCCAAGCTTTCGCGACCCAAAAAAAAAACACAAAAGGCCGGGAAAATATCTTTTATAATATCCAGTCGTTTCCTACCCCCTTCCGACGGCCGTGATCTGACCGTCTGGTCCAATCCACGGCTGCCGACGAGCCCCTCATCCACCAACCCACCTCACCACACCTTCCCCCGTGCGCCCGGTCCATAGGTGCACGGTGCACCCAAACCTGATGACGCCCAAAGTAGCCAAAACCCATTGTTCTCTGATGAGCAACAAGGTTAGTTCAGTTATTTGTTTATGTATGTATATATGCCCCGGCTGCTATTTTGTACGGCAAGCATAGTATTAAATCTATACATTTTGTTCACTCACTTTAGTGTGGAGTTCATATTTCCCGCAAAAAAAAAAGTTCACATCATTGCATGGACTAAGGGCATCTACAACCGAAATGGGTAAATCTGGCCTCCTGTATCTTCGCGGACACGAGCCGGCCACCCTTCATTTGTCCACACCCGCAATCGCTCAACGAGGGCAGGGATGGCCCAAGCTTCCTCTAACACGAGGGTCTGGTCTTGCCGCTTCGCCAGGATCCGCGCATGGGCATCCTCCTCGGCCTTCTTGTTCCTGGCATGCTGCCACTCCACGATGCGGCACGCCTTCTCCCTGTCATCGAGGGCATGCCGTGCCTCGATCATGGACACTCGTCCGTAGCTTTCACATCCGGGACGTCGCGACCTTGAGCATTGCAGCCATTGTCCTTAGACTTCGAGGTTGACATTTGTGGGGAGAAGGACCACCACGTGGATACGTTGAGCCGGGGCGCCGAAACTTTCAGCTGGGGGATCCGCTCAACCGCACTCGCCGGCTGCGGCGATGGAGCAAACTCGGATACAGAATGGCGGTGAAGACACCTGGCTAATGGATCTGCGACGGGATGCGCCCATGTCGGATCCATCCTCCTTGTCCGAGCAAGCGGCAAGCTCCGAGTCGATGGATCCGGACTGATCATACTCAGATCCACCGGTGAAGCCCACCATGGTGGAGCTGAAGGGAGGGGAGGCGACGGGAGGAATGGGAACTGGATTGGAGTGGAGTAGAGCGGTAAGAGTGAGGGCTAGGGTTTGGTCCGATGCGGGGTATATGTGGATCGTACTGAGTCGTACTTACCAAACTGGGCTGTCGACATGGTGGACATGTCCAGACGTGTCTGCACGACCTACATCGCGGATGACGTCTCGGCCGTCCGGCTAGACGTTTAGGGAAAGTGAGTCCGGTTGTAGATGCTCTATAAAAGGAGATTATTTAAAATCTATTGTGCTACCAACTTATATTTTTTTACTCATTTTATTCAAATCAACATGACATGTCACACTAATCAGGCTGATTATTAATTTTTTTGAGGGTATCAGGCTGATTATTAATTTTTTTTTGAGGGAAAGGCTGATTATTAATTAACAATAATATCTTGCTTACATCAGCCACCGGCGGCTTAGGATTGAGACTACGGTCCACGGCCCATGCACCAAGTCCACAGAAAACCCCACAGCCATCCTCTCCCTCTACCCCACCCCAACGAGCCCCCCAAAACGCACCTGGAAATCTATACATAACCCCTCGGCCATCCCCCCTACCCCCCGTCCCACCCCACCCCACCCACCTCGCC